AAAATGGAACCACTCTGATATCCACACAAAAGGGAGGAAAGATAACCACTCCAGTACACTTGAATTGTCCCCATCTTCTAAGCCCATGGTTGCTAAATCCAACCTAACCAAAATAAGGAATAATTCTGACAAGTAATTTAAGTGAAAGCTCAAGCCTTAAAAATATACAAACTCGCTTTATCTATGTCAATTATCACACCTTTTTAAAAATTACATTGGACAGGAGGGGGTGTAGAAAGGACCACATTTACCCACATATGTTCTCATTTACACATCAACATTCCATTCATATCTACTTACTTTGTTTTTTTTAAAGTGATTTGAATATATAGCAAAATATAAAAATAAAATGCCTCAAAGCATTCCATCTTCTAAAATAAGCATTTGCTAACATTCTTAAACTTGAAAATAATTACTTTGTAGCAATGATAAATTTAATACAAATGATGCTCCTTACAATAATTTCATGTCTAAAACAGAGGAAATAAACATTTCTAATTATATTTGTTGAATAAATGACAAGACATGATAAAAACTATACAACAGGTTTTACATACAATACATAGGATTAAAAATTATACCAAAGATTTTTGATCAAAAGTTATGTGGGGATATTAAGCGCAATCTCATGGTTTGTGCTACTTCTTCAGCAAATAATTATCTAAGATTAAGACAAGGGTTCATGTAATTCAGAAAGAGACAAGTTTCATTATATTTATATCAGGACTGGGCTGCAGTAATTCAAAATAATGATCATGAGCAGGAGAGATAACGAACATTGTACCAGTTGGAATAATAGCATTCTAAGATATATCATGACTTTGGTTGCTTGGTATTGTTAATGTTAAAACGAAAATCCAAGAACAGGGGAAAGTCAACTACATGTGGTAAATCAAGGGTTTATGTGCAGCAAATATTAGACGTTGAACCAAGGAAGCACATGGTGAAGATTACTTTTTTTTTTTTTTAAATCTAACAATATTGATGGCATAATACAATTATGAATATTGGCTTCATTCTATGGGGATAAGTTCAAATCAGAACATTTCACATATCAATGAGTATTAAAAGCATCAATTTGCAGCCATGAATTAAACAAAGTTTATTTTGAGGGAAGATAATTTATGCCATGAAAAGCTGAGCAAAGTCTCCAGAGATGATAACCGACATTTTTGTCCAAATAAATTCAACTATGTGCCATTTTGAAACATTCTGTAGCTACATGTCTATTATAGTGACATGGCTTACTTAAAAGATAAGCATCAAAAAAGATGGGGGCAGTAAGGCCTTGTGCATTTAGGACATAGTACCAAGTACACTAACCAAAAAGTTATGCAAGGGTAGGGTGAAAAAAGACATGTTCGCAAGTTAACAACATGATCACAGCTCGTTAACATCTTGCATGTTTACAAAAAAAATAATCATTGTAACAATATTAACCATTGCAGCAATTACCTTAATATTCAACTTTAAATTTTAAAAATAAGATCAGAGACATTAAGGAGAGAAAACTGTTCATACAACATAATATTTATTATCATTTATAAGCATTTCAATAAATAAAATTAACTAATGTCATCAGTGTGAAAACTACAAGGAATGCTTAAGACAGGCTCCATTTCTCAAATTTCAAAAACAGCACAATTGAATTGTGCAAAATCCAACATGCCAATGCATAATTATTATACAAAAATGTGTTAAATATCCTTTATCTTTTAAAAATTGAAGCCATATAAATCAATTAAGATATTTCAAGAGATAATTCTACAAGTTTCAAAAGCTTATACAGTAGAAATTTGTACTTTCATGAAGGAATTGGCTAATAAAAAACTTGCCTAACTCAGTCACAAATAAAATGGATTACCGGTATCTCATTATCTTACAAATGTTTACTAAATATTGACCTAGCATTTTTTCTTCTTCCCTTGGTAAAAAAAAAAAAGAGAGGGCCTAAATCTATATAGTGATAAATGAATAAACTTAATTTTTAACAAAATGATCCTTACTGAGGCAAAAGAGAAAATGAGAAGTAAAGATAACATACATTTAAATTGTCCACGAATAACATTATATACCAATTGCTGCACATGAGACGGGACAAAAAAGATTGGTCAACTATTGATGGTTTAAAATCACTTCAAAGGAAATAAATTGTAGGTTAATGTACAACACAAAGCAATGATTAAAATAACTTTACATCAGTGATGGCATATTTAAGAAAAAATATGTATTTCAGAAGGGGGTCAAAATACACTAAATTAAAAAAAAGAAGACTACCTATTTTCATTAAATTCTCTTTTACATGAAAACAAGTTAACATATGTATGGCATGTTTAAATAAGACGATTTGTTTTTCTTTTTTTAAAATTAAACAAAATGGAGCATCATTATGAATATTAAAAAAAAACAAATATATAACTTTGGCATCTAATTTTCACAATTAAGCATTTGCATCAATTAATGACATCCTATGGGCAGAAATAGCAAAATACGATATGTTCCATTGTTTATTTTCATATTGAGTTCCCATGGTCAAAAAATTTATAAGTTAACAAAATGAGCATCATAAAAATTCAGATCATCATCATTGTCAACACTTTAAAAGGCATTTGAAATAATGATAATGTATTAATACTGTATCGTTTTCAATCTGCCATCACTAATTCAATGTTTTTTTTAAAAAAAGTTATGGAAATTGAAGGGGGAAATGTTCATTAACAGCATACATAATCATCCTTTATAGCTGGAGGGAAAGACTTTTTGTTTCCTTATGTACAAAATACAAGCATCGAAACAATAGCTATTTATCATTGTTAATCTCTAACAAGTTTTAATTTGCATTTAAAACAAAAATTAATTTAAAAAATTAAAGGAAATTCAATTAATATCAGTATCAATCATCATTACTTCTTTTTTTGTTGATAAATTACTAAAATAATATATATATATATAAATGAACAAGGGGAAATAAAATGAATAAAACTATGTTTTTCATATAATTTCTATGCACCATATACACATTCATATTCTCAATCATACCTCACATACATAAAACACCAATCGATTCAGCAACCATCTTTAGGTGTAAAGTGGGGGTTGGACGATACCAGCATGTTAAAAAAATAAGTAAAAAGACATTAAATCCATGCAAGGTGAATAGGGAGTGAGTGTTGTATACAAGACAAGAAACAAAATGCTACAATTTATCCAAACTATATATATGCCTTTACCATATAGAAATATTCTTGATACAATGGGAAATCTACTACACAATGGAGAACTGGCATGAGTAATATTTTTTTTTAAAAGTGTGATTGGTAAACTTTGAAGCCAAATAGTTAAAAAAAACACACACATCCAGAGCTGTATTGGAATGTGGTGCACACAATAAATTGCAAAAGTTTAATCTTGGTGCAGCAGCAGTTAACATGACCAACTATTTCTTTTAATTTAAAAAAGCAATTAAGCTAAACCATTATCATAGAAGTGCAATGTGGTTATTTTCATCAAGGCCATGCTAGAGTTAATAAAATGCAAAATGTCAAGGGTGACAAAATTCTTTCGTGTCTGCCAAGACATAACTAAACACTCTAGGTTAATATTTGTATTTAAATCAAAAGCAAATTGGCTGTTAAATATCCAATGTTACCAAAAAAGAAATCAAGGTGATGCAGAAATTTTAAAAGAACATGAAACTTTGCACCATTCATTAAAAATCCACACTGCACAACAATGAAATGACACCAGTTAGGTATGGGCAAAGCTTGATTAGATGAAAATACAATAAAATATACAGCCGCCATTCTTAAATCAACTCTGATCTTAATACAGTTGCAGTGACCACATTAGGTATTTCAACAAAATATATAATTAAAAATCTATAATACTCTTACAGCAATATTTTTAGTTCAAAAGTACAAAGCAATGCATTATTTCTTGTCTGTTTAAAAAATAAACACTGTAATGAAAACACACTTCATAAAATTAATTTCATCTGCATTAAAGTAATAAATTATAGGAAATAGATAACCCGTAAGAACAATAAGATATAACATTATTAGTCACAATGATACTGGCATGTTATCATTATCATTCTTCTTGAAAACTCTTTGAGAGCAATATATTCTATCTTGTTCAAACATTATAATTGTCATCCATTGCAGGAAATATAAAAATACAAAATTTTGTTAAAGAGGCTTGCCTCTTTTGTTAAAAACAAATGCATGGTATTACAACTTAGTGTGATAATCTAATCGAGAGTGATTTAATAATGGCATTACTAAAAAGAGGAATAATTACAGATATTAATCATCACCAATTATGTAATATATAAGTTTATATAAGACTGCTTACAAATTGAACAAGTTAATGATAATATGTAATGGTAACGATTAAATATTGCAAACACCAGCAAATACAACACAAATTTTAAAGGGAAATAGAGATAACAGAGACATACCCCATAAATCAAATAACAGAAATCCTGAGGACTTAACCTTTATGACACCAGAAAAGTTCTCTAATGTAACAGTTCAAATATAAAATCTATCCTAAAAGCACACCTGTCAAAGCGCACTCTTGCAGCTTTACAAGTCTTCAAGCTTGAGTGAAGCAAAGTTCCCACTGTCTCGTACACACTAACACATCCACTTGTCTCTAATGTTAGAAAGCTTTCCTTACAAGTTTCCACTTTTAACTATGAAAAGGATGAGAGAAAAAATGGAAATGAAGCGCTTAGAGCTGTAAGGTAAGCGCTATACACAAATGCCTAAATAATAATAATAATAAATGACATCCACTATATATCTTTTAGAAATATTGAAAAATTCTTTTTATTAAACCACATATCTACATATTTTAATGAAGGGCATGCAAATGATAAATGCTCAAATGATATTCAAGCAAACTCAGAAATATTAGTCAATTGGATCTAAAACCCCAAATACAAAAATAAATCTACCTACAAATTAACACTAAACACCATTCCATCCTTCCACTAGTCACTGTTGTCCAGGCTGGCCCCCTTGAGCAGCTGCCTGATTTGCAGCCACCTGTTGAAGAACCATCTGGGCCTCATGAATCATGCCCTGTGACCTGTAGTATTCTATCCATGCCTGACTGTAGTCTGGTTGACCAGTCTGGGGGTTGATGGCTGCAGAAGGAGAGGCAGAATCTTAGAGAAGAGAAAACAGTGCAATCCAAGACTATTTGTTTTTATGGAAAAAATGCAACCTTAAATTTTTTGTTAGAAATATGTTTGATTTAATTCAAAGATCCATTTTTTAAAGGCCTTATGCGTTTAATTTGAGTTAGACAGACTAACCAAAGATAAAATACTGTTGCAAGGTCTACTATCAAACTCAAACAATGTGACCTAGAGCATGGCCATGTCTGTGTCAGCGAATCCTTGCGGTACAATATTGCAGATTTTCGACACCCCTCACCAGAATGATCAAGCATTGGGCTCTAATAATCTGCTTTTTTTTTTTAAAAAAAGGGATGCAGTCATCTTATAAATTGTCTTCTACATCAGTTACCCAAATTACAGAGAAAAAAATTGTATTAAAAATAAATTTATACCTTAAAAGTCCTAAATAAGACTTATACAAATAATTTAAAACTAAATTGTTTAACCCTATGAAACTGCCAATTGTTTTTCTGTAGTGTCAAGCCATTTTTAACATTTTATATGACAAAATCCCATGCTAAATTAGTTCAGTGACCCTTACAAGTACTAAAGCACATTGGTATGGAAATAAGTTTTTATATTATGTATGTTGATTTTGTCCTCGACCTTTAAAGAGCGAGTAAAATTGTACAACTCAACTTCTGAATTAAACCAAATTTAATTTTTGAGATAAAAGCAATATTCATTCAGAACATTTCAAATTTCTGTCTCACAAAATACAATGGGGAAGGCATGAAATGAGTTCAAAAATTCCTTTTCAAATGAAATTATATCCCTTTTTTTTTTAATTAATCAAAACCCAAAGAAGATACACAAAACAAAAACATAAATGTCTTTGAATCTCTTTAGGGTGGGTCTTTGGGATCCAATCTCTATCTTTTCTGTTCGATTTCCACCCTTTCCCCAAACAAATTAGTCTGTCACATAACAAAGCTAAGGGCTCAAATTGTCAATATCTGACTCGTACGTCGCAATCACCGCTAGTGATGACACTATCATTATTAGCACATAGAATATATCTAGAATCATTGTCTTCAATTAAATCCATTTGAAATAATGCCAATAAGGTGTGTTTCCAAATGCGGGCGGGGGGGGGAGAGAGGGCCTCGGCTTGGCTCCATCAGCAGACAATAGGAAGCAAACTCATAACTAGTGATATATACATTAATACATCTGCATTGTTAAGGAAGATTTTGCCAAAGGTCGCTGATATAATCGGCTGTGACACCACAGAAAGAGGTTTAATGGCCAATCATCTGCCATTATGACAGTTATAGAGTTAAAACATGATTCCAGAACACAGCACAGGCTTATGAAACTGGTGGAAGCAACTTTTAAACCTACTGTGATTGACTCTACATTCATTTGGTTGAGCGTAAGAAGTCTGTGTTGGTTGCTGTTGTTGCATGGGTTGTTGCTGGGGAGCTGCAGGTTGCTGGGGAGCAGCAGGTTGTTGTCCAGGTTGACCCTGACCATAGGTGGCATAATAATATGCTGCCCAAGCTGCTGCATTGGCATCATTGGGTTGCTTGTCTGACAAGATAAATTATGAATCAGATGTTTTTAAAAAATATTAAAATATCTCAAATAGAAAAAAGTTGAAGTACATAAATTATAATGTAAGACTTACTTGGCATATTTTGCTGTTGAGGATATTGATTGCCATAGGCATTCCAACCTTGAGGGGCTCCACCATACTGTTGCTGTGGGGGTTGGCTGTAGATATAAGAAAGGTCCATACAACTTACAACTGAACAGTACATTCTTGTTTGTTTTTAACCCTTTCCCCATTGGAGTCGCCGATCATCGCGTCTACCGATAGTCTCCCATTTTCTGTTGTTTCGCTGCAGAGCTGATCTCACTTTTCAAGCAGTTAATATGCTTTCTTTATCTCTCAAATAAAAGAACTATAAATACGCTTTTTTCTATGATTATTTCAGGACGAGTCTTGTGTTTTTGACAATTTCTTTTTTGTAAATAGTGTTTTGTGGATTTCTTTTTCAAAATGGATGATTTTCTAAGGATGTTTAGGGATGCTACAGGGTACGATTATGATGGGAATACATATGACTTAGGGGGTAATAGTGAAATTGATGAAGGTGAAAGTGATGATGTTCCAATTGAACAGTTTGACCTTTGTGACACCGATATTGATAATGAGTCTGATGATGCTGTAGAACAAGACAACATAGACCCAATAGGTCCAAACATTGTAGACCAGTGGGATAATATCACAGATGTGGTCAGGGAATTTATTGCAGATAGTGACCCTAAACATGAATTAGTCAGATGCCGAGCCATTTGATTATTTTAGTTTGTTCCTACCAGAAAAATTTTATACAACAGTAGTAAACCTCTGTATGCTGAACAATGTCAACAAAGGGCTGCTAAAGTGGACAAATATTGGAAGCCAGCAGCAGTTGGTGAAATAAAACTGTTGTGTCATATTTATATAATTATGGGCATACATGTTCTACCAGAATACTCTGATTAGTGGTCAACAGATGATGATCGCCTCCATGTCCAAGGGGTGGCTTCGTGTATGAGTAAATCACGCCTAGAGAAGCTGTCACAATACTTACATCTAAGTGACTCATCTCTAAATCCTCCCAGAGGCAAAGAAGACCATGACCCCCTACATAAAGTAAGACCACTTGCAGAACTCATAAAAGCTAATTCAGCTTTTATAGCAGGCAAAAACATAAATTTCGATGAGGCAATGATAGCCTTGAGTGGGAGACTGGCATTTAAAAAGTACATCAAAGGGAAACCTAACCCCTGGGGCAATAAGGTTTGGTGTGCTGCTGATTCACCTACAGGGCAACTTCTTGATTTCAATATTTATAATGGGAAGGTGAAAGATGACATGCCTCATGGAAGTGGACATTATGCTGTGACAAATCTGGGGGAAAGATTTTTATATAATCATAACCACCTCTTTGATAATTATTTCTCGATTCAATTAGCACAGGATCTCTTGGCAAAGGATATTTATTGCTGCTCAAGAATAAGGCCCAATAGAAAAGGATGGCCATCTGAATATACACCCTCAAAAATAAAAAAAGGAGAAATCCAAGTCAGGCAAAATGGAAATCTTGTGGCCAGTCTGAAAGGACAAAAGATATGTTACGCTGCTAAGCACCAACACTGCTCATGGGACATCCAGTTAGGAGGTGAGGTCGGTATGAAGTGACTATTACTACTGTTGTGGATGTGTACAATATTGGGGGGGGGGGGGGGGGGGGGTGTGTGTGTGTGTTAAACCAATTGTGTTCATACTATCCAGTAGGAAGAAAATCTGCAAAGTGGTGGAGATATACATTTCGATTTCTCCTTCAGATTGCTTTTGTCAATAGTTGGATCCTGTACTCAAATTCTCATAGACCCTATCCAAAAAAACAAACTGTCCCATATGGAGTATAGCTAAAGCCTTAGCTCATCTTTGCTGAAATGGACCATCAGCCGGAAGAGAAAACCAACAAGTAAATCAGCTTCTACAGGAGTAGGGACTGACTGAGCACCGGCTGATAAGGACGGTTGGAAACAAACGTGCTTGACAGTTCTGTTCAGTCAATAATTGGAAAAAGAAAAAGTGTGCATGAGACTGTTTATGGATGTAATTTGTGCCAAAAGTTAGACTTTGTAAAGAAGAATGTTTCTCAAAATTCCATACAAACTTGATGCCAACTTCTGTCGCCAGCACATCAAATCAAATAAACATTTTTTTCATTGGGTTTTTAAGTGTTTTTTATAATTAATTTTATATAATATTATACCTTGTCTACATTTCATTTAATTTCCAAAGTTTGACTTAAATTGCTTTAATAGCTTTTAAAAATTGTAAGTTGCAAATTTTACTGTTATGCCCCTTTTCTCATGGAGTGGCTCAGTGTTGGCCTAAGGGCGAAAGGGTTAAACAAAACTGGTAAGTACAATCCATAATTTTTTTCATAACTGTTGCAAGGTCTACTATCAAACTCAAACAATGTGACCTAGAGCATGGCCATGTCTGTGTCAGCGAATCCTTGCGGTACAATATTGCAGATTTTCGACACCCCTCACCAGAATGATCAAGCATTGAAAAGGCGTTAAAATTGAATTGAAGTCCTACAATTTTTACAGTGATGGAGGTTTCTGGAAAAACCTTGAAAAAATTACCCAAACCGGGGGGGGGGGGGATTTTTTGTGTAGCTATATTCCCCAAAATACACATCTTTATGTCATCTTCACACCCTGAAATTAAGGATGATAAATGGATCTAATAATAAGTATACTTACTTAGGCTGTCCAAATTGACCACCAAATTGATCATAGCCACCAGGGCCTTGAGGTCCAGGTCCACCTGGACCACCTTGTGGTCCTGGCCCTCCAGGTGGGCCACTGGGGCCACCAGGACCACCCATCATACCACCAGGGCCACCTCCAGGTCCATGTCCCTTAGGAAAGAATGACTAAAGAAATGAGACAAAAAGTTAGACTAGACTACAAGGGGATAACGGCGTTAATTTAACAAAATTATAGCTTTAAAGGAAGATACAAATTCAGAATTTGACAGTCAACAAGGAAATTCTGTCCGCCCGTCAATATTTTCATCATTTTAATCAAAGTCAAACCCCAAATTGACTCAGAAGTCCTGAAATGTTGACGCACCTCAGCCCAACCCACCTGATCATTCGGCCCTCCCTGTTGACCAGTCTTCTCTTGAATAAGTTGAATTGCATGCTGAATTTGGTTTGGGTTGCCTCGGATATTGAATAGCTTTTCATTCATGTTGGGAGGTGGATTGCGGTCTAACTCAACATGAGCCCCAGACTGGCGGTTTATCTCCCGAATTGTTTCACCACCTGTAATTAAAAAAAAAAAAAATGATTTCAATATTAAATGCTTGAATAATACAACTTAAAATAAAATAATAAAAGGTGATACAACTAACTTTAACACCAAAAAATTCAAAAGGCTTACCTTTGCCAATAACCAATCCACATTTATCAGCTGGCACACTGAAAGTAGTGTGATCTTGGAAGTTGGGATCAAATCTACCACCCATTCCACCACGAGGACCAGGTGGGGAGAATGGACCATTACCTGGACCACCCCTACCCATGTCATTACCTGGACCAGGCCCCATTGGACCACCAAAGTTATGAATAGGTTGACCCTGAAACAACACCAAACATTTTTAAAGCTTTAGCTTAAATCGATTATATGCTAATAAGCCACAATCATTTTAAGAACAAATCACCTGGTGGTACATTCCACTTATTAATATATTAAATATCTAATGATCCTGTAATCAGAAGAATTATTTAAAAACATTAACCACACCCAAATTAACATATCACGAGGTGAGAAATAATCCTTCAAAACTGACCTCCATTAATTTTTCAATGCCCAAGATTTTTTGTATATGCTTGCCAAAATTAAGGGCTGTGAAAATTAAGGTCTACAGTAAATGAAGGAATAATACAAACCCCCATTATATTTGCCTTGGCCAGCAGATCCTGAATCATCCTCACGGCTTGTTGTACTTTATCCGGGGGACCTGTTACAGAGCATATTCTGTCTTGACTCTGACCATCATCTGCAATAATATACAACCAAGAACATTATATTTAAACAGCTTTTATTAAAATTTAGCTTACCCGTTGGTTGCATATAATTTTAACTAGGACTGCCGCATCAAAATGATATATTTTTTACCATATAAATTCCACCGCATTTATGAAAAACGTTAATCCTCAAATTATACAATGTTATAGACCTAAATGATCTGTTTAATTTTCTTGTATTACGGTACCTAATAAACAGTAAAAGTAAATTTTCCTAACCTGGCTTAAACTGTACTTTAGCACCAGTTTCAGTCTGAATTTTCTTGATCATGTCACCCCCTTTGCCAATGACCAAACCAACACCTTGTCGTGGAACACCTATATCCATGCCATTGGGACCACCTCCTCCATGTCCCATATGACCCATTGGAGAGCCAAAGTCATTATAGCCACCACCTCCACCACCTGGTCTTGGAATACCATCTTTCTCAGCAAGAAGATCAAGCACCATATCTTTAGCTCTTTGACATTTGCTTGGGTCACCACTAATACGCAGTGGCTTATCATGTGCAGATGGTGCATTGCTATCCTGGATCATAACCATCTTTACTCCAGCTCTTTCCTGAGAAGTTTGTAAAAAAAAATTGTGTTACAACCATATAACCCCAAGCAGACAACAAAAATCATATTTTCTTTCTTTATTAAGGTTTTTAATTTACCTGTAGCTGTCTTATTGTCTCGCCTCCTTTACCAATAATAAGCCCCACTTTAGATCCAGGAATATTCATCTCAACAACAGTTCCTCCTTCGCCCATTCCATCCATTCCTCCCATATGTGGACCACCACCACCACCACCACCACCACCTCCTCCTTGACCCCGTTCAATGATTTGCTGCATTGCTTGCTTACACAGCCTGAAACAAAAAAAAAAGTACATATTAAATACTCACATTCATTTACCTTTATCTTTAACTAAAATGAATCAAACTATTTGCAATAATTCACTTACATAATTGCTTGGGGAGATCCAGTGAGTGTACAAGGTCTCTCAGGCAACCCACCACTATCTGTAAAAGATTTTCAAATAAATTTTAAGTTATATAGTAAGCTTTAAAATATAATTTAAGTGGATAAAATAAAATTCAGAGGTTGACAGTCAACAAGTAAATTCAGTCCGCCCGTCAACAATTTTCATCATATTTCATAAACAAATATGCATGCGAAAACTTTAAACTAAGAAACGTGACTGTGGTCATGTTATTCCACAAACATAAATTTATCAGGAGGTCTATTGTTATGAAGCAAAACCATCAATAAAAGGTATACAGACATTACTCTTCTTTCATACACCTTTCCTTTACATAAAAAGGATAAGAATCTTATGAATGCATTGAGTTGGGGTGCCATCTGTCCCAGAAAACATGCACCAAAAAAAAACTGCCAACAGAGTCCAAACTTTACTTCATACTTTGATAACCATTTTCTTTTTTTTAAATAACAGAATTAGAGCCAGCATCCACTTTCATTAGATTAGTCAATCACTTTAAATTGTCAAAAAGGCAATTTCTTTAAATTTAACAATTACAATATCTCTATAGGACCAAAGAGGTAAAAAAAATATAAAAATATATTTTGAGTCACTTTTGCTTAAGTCGTTAGCATAAAATAAACTGACTAGTCTAACCACTAAAAAAAATTACCTGGAGCAATCTGGACCTTGCACCCAGTTTCTGCTTGTAATCTTGTAATCTGTTCACCACCTTTCCCAATAACTGGAATAAAAAAAAATCCACACTAAGTAAATTCATTTCAAATAAGGTTTGATGAGCCACAGCTTGAACTTAAAATACCATTACTATGAAAATAAAAAACTTTGGTGACTTCGGAGACAGTAAATTTCTAAAAATTGTAGCAAGGGCTATTACTTGAACACTGATCAAGTGGATATTACCCCATCAGTGCTAGTAAAAACCTTGCAATATTAATATAGCAGAACGAGGAATTCCAAGGGTCTAGCAAAACCCACGGCCAGTAAGTTCTGCCCCAATGTTAAAAAATTAAATGAGTATACTGTCACTTCAGAAAGTGGATGTTATGCACACCCTGTCTAAAAACAATTCAAATTAATTCTAAGGGTCTTCATTCATAAAGAATATTTATTTATTTAGGCATTTTTATATAGCGCTTACCATAAAGATCTAAGGGCTTTACAATTATTAAAAACATGTAAACTAAGTAAAATAAAAATGAGACACTAGGATAGTAACTACTATACTATAGAAACAATGAAAATGGCTATAAAACGAGGACACTTTGACACGTTTTGGCCTATACTTCAGGATCAAACCGAAACTGAAAATGAGGCAGGGCAAGGAGGGTGCATCACAGGTCATAGGCGGACCTAAACAGATGAGTTTTAAGGGACTAAAATGTTCACATATAAACTTGAGTCAAACCCATTCCCTCCAGGTGAACACATCCATACTTAGCCTTTACTCATGAACAAAGGGAAATACAATTGAACCATCATTGTTTAGGGAAAAAACAAGCTGCTAAATAATTTTAAGGGGGGAGGTACACCATGAGAAATGGAAAAAAAACTTTTTTCGATTTAACAGTAACCATTGATATCAAAATAAAGTGCATCAATTCTGCACAATTATATGTAATTATTTTTAATTTAAGTTAAATAGTTCTTAAGATATGAATTTTGTTAGAAAGTGATGTGTATCAGAATTGACAAAAAAAAATAATAAAAATCCTTATACTTTTTCTATCTCAATTGTATTAAAACAAGGATGACCTGCCAAATAATTGTTGAATACAATGATCAGTCCTTTAAATATGGCGGCTTCCATGAACAAAACATTTTTGTTAATATTAAAATTGTCTTAATATTTGTTTATCATTTGTTTATACAATGTCTAGTGATAACAAATATTCAAAGAAACTAGCGTTTCACAAAAATAGACATACTAAGCCTAATATTGGACCCAATGAGGATATTTTAAATGGAATAAATTAATCAAAACCATCTGATCCATTGAATCGTTGAATATCTTGACTTTGACTAAAATTAAAATTTAATGGTCTCGATAACACCAAATGCCACACCCACCCAGAACAAGTCAGAAATGAAATTGATAGACAGAGTAAATGGTTTTCATTTCGATTAAAGTGAAAATTAAGACATCTGTAAATCATTTCATTAATTTTTAATGTTTATAATAACAGGGAATCGGCAGAAATTAATTTAATTAGGCCAATTTTTTTAGACCTTTACCATCCAATTATTTTTAAATAAATGTTTAGATATTTATAACCAAAATGCGAACGAATCGAATAATAATATATTGAATGTGTGCCCTAAGAACAAATATCATGGTTTAAGAGCTGTCCAGTGGTGTTGACTTAGCAACCCTTCTTTTCAATGATGGATCCAAAGTATTGGAGGCTCCTCTAAGATTTTGCAGCTTTCCTTTGGACAGTTAACTTTCAATTATTTCATTATGATGGGTGCTCAGCGGGTATCGAAGGCACAAAAAACAAATTAATAAGTCCTTAGAAGATAGAAAAAACAGAAGAAGGCTTAAATTTGGGTTAGAAGAGTCAAAAGTTGAAGCAAAATTACATCCTTATCTTTCAGGAAGGGGTCATTAAAATTATAAAATGTATTTACTTAATGAACAAAATTATTGCGCGTTCATTCACAAAATTTCGACATTTAATTCACATAAAAAATGATAACTTTTAAAATATGAACCAATTTGCTTAAAATTTTGCAAGATGCTATATTATATACTTGTCTATGTCAGCAACTAAGGATATTGTAATATATTAATAAGTACACATTTTACAATCCTTCAAAGTTTGATTATAAAATGTCAAAATTAATACTTTAAATACTTTGGGATGCTGTGATACAAAAAGTATTCAATAAATTACATTTTTCCTAGTTGTCGCCAAAGCTAAGCTGTATGGTTAAAAAATTGTAATAAATTTGAGCTTAAAACATTCTAATTTTTTTTGTCTGACATGCCTGATCCAGCATCTCATTTTTTTTCTTTTTCTCAATGTTAGCAAACTATTATATTGCACTACTAATGGTTATTTTATGTGTTATGGTAGAATGACCATTCATCTAGCTTCAGTAAAAATTTGACACTTCTAACTTAAATAGTTTTTTTTTTTTGTGAATTTTTTAGCAGTCGACCTGTGTTCAGGGTGCACCTCCCCCCTAAAGGACAAATGGATTAGGTTTAACTCATTCCCGGCGGTTGCGGCTAAATGTGTCCACTGGGGGTTCCTCCTGATGCGTCCCGGCGTATAGCGACACACCTCTTATTTTTAGTTAAAAATAGCAATGAAATCTCGCGTCCATCGTGACTTCCGGCTATGGCGTGATTTCAATTTAAAAACTGGAAGTTTTTATCTTGTTTCTCTTTAAAACCATGTGTGCTTTAGTACGACGGGTCTACATGTAGCATGTGTTCGTCCGAGGTTGAAAAAATCGATTTTTTGGCCATTGTTGGTTATTTGTCCCCCGCTAATGTTATATTTATATTAGACCGTATTCATCTTTTGTTGCATTTGTTCTTAATTCATTAACATTAAATAATATTTAGCAACTTAAAAAAATTATTTTTAAAATTTCAAAACTGAGTTGCTTCCTTTTTCTCAGGAAAATAAATGAAGTCCGGAAGTAGCACTGCCGGAGGGAACGAGTTAAAAATATAACATGGCCAAAACTTAACAAAACACTTATTTTGGCACTTCAACAAACACAAAATTTAGAGGTCTTTCATGTTATCACGCCGCCAGAAGTCTCGGGGATGCATGTTGTAGCTGTTATTTATCCATGAGAAGTGTGTTTATCAGGTTTTACCATAGGGAATAAGCAATCAAACTCATCTAGAAATTAAAATATCCTGCTACAGAATTCTAAAAGTTGAAAAGAAACTACCAACCAGTAAGTTGTCTTTCTAATTAAAACCTCTACTTATGTATCACAAAAAGACTTACTTAATCCAACCATTTTATCAGGAACTCTATGCTCTTCTGTGTTAATCATTCCTCCTAGGCCAGCATGAGGTCCTGGTTTCTGTGGCTGCATACTTGGGTCTGGCTGAATGCCCAATTGACGATTAATTCTGGCTGCCGCTTCTTGAGCAGCACGTGCTGCGTCTGTTCCTTGCCCAAATCTTGATAGATAAAAAGAGATAAAATATCAGACCTGTTTACTCTTATGATTTTGAGGTGTATACATTATACTGCATGTTTTTTTTTCTATAAAGAGAATGTTTTGAATGATTATGTGATGATATTGTACGATTTTAAGAGTTTGAAGGTAAACAGGTCTGAAATATGCCTTTGTCGAAATAAGGACTTTCATGAACGCATAATTTTCCACTGTTTAGTAACAACTGAGGGCTAACCAAATGGCTTAGCTCAATCTAGGTGCTTTATTTTTAATATGAAATGTTTAGATGATAAAATAACACTCACCCTTGATTATCTGCAATAGCTCTCAACTGTGCACCTATTGCTGCTGTAAAACAATTTTATACTCAAAATGTATAAATGAACTCTTACATTAAAAATATAAAAATGAAAAAAAGAATGTATTTATAAAAAGATCAAAATAAAACAAAACCCAAGGTTATATATTGCCACTCCATGATCTAACCAATCACTTACAATCACCAGCTATTTTCTTTGTTTCAGGCTCACCTGAAATGACACAAATAGAAAAAAAGTATTTAATACCTTTCAAAACATACTGAACAGTTTTAAGACTGAATTTATAAAATTTAATATTTTTTCTTGATAATAAGATTAAAGAATTTAAGTTAAACTTATTTAATCCATGATTCAAAATTTAAAAGTAGATAAATGAAAGTAAATGCATTGATTTTTTAATACATATTTTCAAAGCTATTTGTTCCTTATTGATTTTTATGTTAATACTTTATTAAGTTCGATCATTATAGCATATTGTTTTAAAATATTTGATCATTTGTTCAGATAAGACGAGTCTTCATGTTGATATTCAGTCCGCCCGTCTTATTTTCATCATGACAATAATGACTAAGAAACTGCATTGCTCAATGTTTTAAAAAAATGTATTTACTGTAGAACAAAAAGCCTTTAGTAAATAAATCCCAAAACAAGATGTAAAGTAGAGAATTGCAGTAGAATAAGGCAAAATGCATTACATATGAATCAATGCATTACAAATTGATACAACTTCAAAAACTACATTTCTCTATTTTTATATAAAAAGCTCCTTCACCTCAAAGTTCTGACGTGGAGAAAACAACTCTTAAAAAGGATCAAAATAATTTAGAAAAATTAATATCTGTATCGTAGATACATCAGTGAAAAATAAATAAATGTGTATATATAAGTATAATTTATATATATATATATATAAATTTTAACAAATGTCTGGTCAAGACTTTTAAAACGGCAAACACAAAAACTGCACAATAACTGCAGTAGCAGCCTTTCTTTCTTTACATATAAAGAACACAGAACATTGTTCTCCATGCCTCTTTATAAGCCCTTAAATACCTGATTGGGGACAAATAACCAATGAAACAAAATTACAAATATATGCAAAGGTATCAATATGTTGCACATTTGAAAGCTGTATAAGAAGGAGTTAACATGAAGTGTGGTATACGGCAGATAAACAAACAAAACAAGTTTAAAACAAAAATTCAACATGTAAAGAAAAGAACATGCAGGTAATTTATAGACTGCCATTTTGTATCAACAGAAGTTAAAGATGTCACATATCTCGTGGCAAGTATATACAAAGACACACTTGAGGATTGTAAGATAATTTTTTAAAAAATGAGAACTCTTTAAGTGTTGGTTAATAGTTTTATAAACAACTATGTACAACATTCCTAATACTTCTACAAAACTTATTTTCTAAGCTACTGACGTTTACAGAGGCCATTTAATTAAAGTAGTGTAGCTCTGTATTACATGACATGAAAATAGGGAAATATATCAATGTCATCAGGAAAAAATATTTTTAAAAGCCTTTTTTAAAAAACATGGTAGAAGCATGCAATGATCCGAAACAATTATTGTACTAAATAAATTACAGAACGACTGAATTCAAATATAGAAATTTTAACACGATAATTTTCTTTAAAGAAATGGAAATATTAAGCATTGAAATTACAAACAATACAAAAATTAAACTGACCAACTAGACAGATGATGCCCCCTTTTAGCTTAGAAAACATTTTATCTCAACTAAAAATAAAAACTCAAGATTCCTATTTTTCAAATTTTTAAAATTGATTCATAATAGAAATACGGCAAATTCGGTTGCTGATTAAAGGGATCGCGACTTTTCCCCGTTAGTTTAAACAGTATTAAAATGGTATGTATGAAATCTAGAAGTTGAATGAAAAAGGGAATGAAACGAAGGCCAAATCTAAATAAAAATAGTAAGCAAATTATATGGGCTATGCTTGACAGGAGTTTTGAATGATGTGTTTAATTTAATTGTCCACCTCTTGATATCACCTGACATGAGTTTAAAGCCCTTAAACTGTTTATTAGCTATGAATGCAAATAGCTGGGAAAGACACATTCTTTTTTTTAAAAAAAGGGGATGCACAATCAAGTGCTATGTATGAGTAATCAATTAGCAATAATAATAAAATTAGTGTTTGCACAACAGTGAATACTAAAAAAAAAAAGAAGAGAGAGAGAGAAACTAACCGAACCCAGGGTTTAAGCACTTATACAGGCAACTAACAAATTTTTTTTTTATATGTTTTTGATTTGTTAGACTTCGGTAAAAAGAGACCAAAACAGGCCAAACGCACGACATTATCGTCTTACCATATGTTTCTACTTTGGTGGGGAAAAGTTTACTTTTTGATTTTGAGGATTTTGGAATGTCTTTTAATTTGAGAAAAATGATCTAATTTACCAAAGGAGGCGCCATCATCCAAAGGTCTCTTGATACCTTGCACTTGTGCGTCCCCTGCTCCTGGTGTGATCTTGGCTGCTATCTACACAGGGCGAACACAGGCAAATGCACGAAACAGAGAAGAAAAATGGGAAGTGGGGATGGGAAGGGGGAAAAAAGAGAGAAAAACACATGGTTAGCATTAGGCTGAGGCCATATTTGTTGCCGCTGAATCACCTGTTGCAGTTTCTTTGTTTTACATTAAGAAGCCTCAATGAAAAGAAAAAAAAATTCTGAAAACATAAGTCTTGGTATTTGCATGATAAAACAATTACCACAAATTAAATACATCCCAACATTGCAAACTACTTTGTTTTCTTAAAATGCATGACAAAAATCAGCATGTAAAATATTCTAAAAACCATGAATTTCTACCATTCTTCCCTCTTAATGTTTATTTTATAAAACAAAAAACAACCATAATGAAAAGGATTGACTTTAAATAGTTATATGCATTGTTATCCCAGCATAAAATTGTTATAATAAAAAACGTCAACTTGGTGATTCATCATACATAAAACATTAAATACATGAATAACAATAACAAAATATAGTAAAACTAATAGCCTATAGCATATATCTAGGAATTAAACCCCTTCCTTAATTGAAGTAAAATATCGTCAACATTAGCAAGGACCTATGTAATGTGAAATACGATTGTGAAACAGAAGTTAGTTGGGAGATCAACATACAATAGTCGGCGTTCAGCCTGTTAGGATCATGTTAGGCATAGCTAACTGGAAACGATTTAATTTGCATTATTTTAATTACAAAGAATCTAAATCCTCTGGAGAATTTAAATACTGAACCCCACTAATCATGTATTTTAGTCACAAATTTCAAGGCCACGAAAGTCAGGCAGCTAAAGATATAGATAACAGTTTTCTTTATTATTCTTTAAATATAAGGGCCCACATACAAAAATAGAAGCTAAGCTGCAAAGATTTTAAAATGACTAGTAATGGTGACATTTTCTTTTAAATGCTGTCAGCGTCATACATACAACATATCCCCATTTAACAAAGCCGAAAAAGGGGAATATTACACCAAAAACTGTAAAGATCGTCAAATGCTTGTCTTTTTCGAGTCTGCAAGAAGACTCGGAACATACATGAAATACAAATGTGGGGTTCATTATAAATTATGTAGTTGAAGCAGTTGGAACAAAGCTGGCCCATTAATTTGTTTAAAATAAAATTGTCAAAGTTCAGAATTTGAAAAAGCCAAATGAGACCTAATAAATAGGCACAAAGTAATACTTTAATAACTAAAGTGTCACACATGTAAAACCAAGACATTCTTAACTTAAGCCTGTAAACATTCAACAAAGTTTCATATTAAACATTTTATCAATCATGCCTCCTCTTTTACCCCTATGAAGTTCACTATTTAGCCAAATAAAGACAAGATTGGCAATGCATTTAAAAATTCAACTATATAATTTGAAAATTATTAACATTGTGAGATTTTCCCCGAGGATGTGAAAAGGAAAACTGAAGGTTAGCATACTTAAAGTTTGTGGCTAAATTACACAATCCGCTTTTGCAGCACAACGATTTGTTTTAAATAGAGCCCGAGACAGCGGTTTCTAGCCCTTCATCAGATCAGGTTTGTCAGTTATAAAATTATAGCACACAGATTTACAGAAACTAATTATATAAGATTTAAATTGACATGACCAAAACTAAAGCAATTTCTGTAGTTGCTGCTAACCTCTGAAAAACAAAATGGAACTTTCATCTCAATCATAAGTTAGTTGTCCTTGGATTTTTATTAATAATTCAAGTGAAAATGTATATAGAATGGGCAATAAATCTTCAAGCATGCAATTTCTTTAATTATATGACTATTAGCATTATAAATAAGACCGTGAAACAAAAACAATAAAACTGCATATAACGAGGGAAATGGAGAACAATGACGTGACTTTCTAGGCGAAGCCGTGAAAAATGACGGGCATTTTTTCTTTATACCACGTGTTCAGACCAGTCATTTTTTTTCATTTTGCACAAAATAGTCTTTCACTATCTTCCCAAACTTCAAATTATTGAGTTTAAAATGCTTATTTAATATACCTGTCTTGCACGAGCTACAGCCGAAGCAAAAGCACTTGTTCCGTCAAATTGAGCAGAGCCGGGGTTATCAGCCATGTTCAGGAAAAATGGCGTTGAGAAAAGGCGGAAGCTTGACCCTGAGTGGGAATACTGCACGTTTTCTGGTTTGCCATTGGTTAAGACATTGCAGCGACATCTGTCTTGACAAAAACGTGCCCAGTTATGTCCCCTTACCTTGTACAGGGGCCCTCAGATTGTGGCCCAAAGTAGCATTCCCCAAATGGCGGTCCGCGGGCCAACACCGGTCTGTGATTGTCATATTGCCAGACCACACAAGTATACTATCGTCAAATAATATATATATATATAGCTAATACATCTGACGCTGGTCTGTGGTCAATTACGAAACGTGTCCACCGGTTCGCCAAACTGTCAAGTATGGGAAACGAAGTGGCTATTCGTACCCGGGTACCAGAAGTGAGAGACTGGGATTACAAAACTATTTAAAATTTTATTGTTGGGCTTGTAAGACAAAATGAGGTGAAACGCTGACCTCATAGGATGCTAATGGCTCCTTTTTTAAAAGAATAAGGGTAAACTTAAAATTTGTAGGTGATTCTGGCAAAGCTGGTATTGATTAAATACGTGGGGAGTGTATCTGGATAATTAATTTTAAGTAAGTTAATTTTTTTAACTTAATTATAAAATAGTTAAATTGATGCTCCGTTTAGTTAAAATTTGCTGGTGAGACTCGGTTTAGAAAAACATTTGGTCGGAGGCCCACTGTGACCAAAATTTTTGAATTTAATATTATGGGTTACTAGCCAACAAACCTGACTTTGGTTTAGTTAATATTCACAGCTGACCACATCCAAAAATCATGTTTTAAAGACAATTTTAACTTGTTCAAGATGCCTTGTTAAAACGGGTTACTAGGCCTACCAATGACAAGGCTATGGCTGTTTATAAAAATATAATAAATTAGAATCCCCGTTCCAAAAGATGTAGTTTTAGTTATCTTTAAGAAAGATGTACTGTAAAAATGATTCATTAAAAAAATGTAAGTTAGTTTTTCAAATTTACTCCATTAAAATCGAAAGGAATTTCCAAAGATGTTGCCTTTTAAGTTTTAACAATTAATTAGGGCCACCGGTGTCTTTCATATTTTACAACAGTTGCTATTTTACATTCGAAAATGAAAATCTTTATTTTTAAAATTGTTCCATTGAAAATGGTTGAAAAAGAGCAAAAGATGAAGCATTTTATTGGAAATAAAGTTTGCTCCCCTCAATTATTTTTTTTAATGCACAAAAAGATGTGTCTATAATTAGTTTGAAATCCACCGCTATTTTAAATGGGTCATGAGAGGTATGTTTGCAAAGCTGGGCTGAGACTGAGATGCAACAATTTAGTAGACGCTTGCGCTGTCACCTAAACCTTCGTATATAGCTTTGGCTCTTCAAAAGAAATAACTCTGTAGAAACTCCTACCAAACTACTTTGGCTCTTTTTAGAAGCTTCAAAAACATCTTTAAATTTGATTTCATAGCATTTATAGACACTTAATGAACAAGGACGTTTATATGACCTTAAAACTCTTATTAAAAAATCGAAGTTCTATACTAAGGAAGAAACTGCAAGACACTTTTTTTTAAGTTTTTTTTTTTACATTGATACCGAAGGAAAGTAGAGAAATATTAATAAATAATAATACTAATAAATAAGCGCACTGAAAAGTATTTAACACATTTTTCTTAAAATTGATTATGTCAACCAAGTATGTGCAGAAGGGTAGTAAGGCACCCTATGCAGCCAAAAGAATTCCAATTAGACGAAGAATTTTAAAAAAAAAAAAAAATGTACATTTCATATTTTTTTAAATATTTTCTGCACAGACTTTTCAGATGTATTCTTCATTGTCTCCCACTGATGCAAACTAATACTAGGTCAGAGGTCACGCCCTGCCTTAAGATTGGCCATTGAGGATTCCGAGTTATTCCACTTCAGTAAAAAATCAATCATTTTTTTTTTAAACCAACGTTTACTTTATCAATCGATCGCTGGCCGAATCCCCCCCGCAACCCCACCCACCCCCCACACACACAAAATATAAAAAGCCATGCTACTCTTTAAAGTCAGAGTATGATCGGGCTAAGCTAAGTGAACTGCCACCCAAATGGCCTTTTGAAGAATTAGTCAAAGGCGGGGCGAGGATGGTGGAGGAGTTAATGGCGGAAGGTGATTCCATGGAGGATTTGATTCCTACCTCATTATCCGTCATCAAAAGAATCAAATTTTAGTTTTTAGATATTCAAAATCAGTTTCTAAGTTTATTTATTACTTTGTTTCCGTACCTCTGTGATCAAATAATGTGTTACAACTTCGTAATTTGTCTCAACTTTATGTTACCCATATTTCTCTTTATAAGGATAAGGAATTCAGCAGATTGGCATCACTTAGACTTGGCCTTGAAAAAATTATGAATGCTGCGACTATTCGCATCCGGGTACCAGAAGTGAGAGGCTGGGATTAAAAAACTATTTAAAATATTATTGTTGGGTTTGTAAGACAAAATGAGGTATCAAATGAAAGATAATTGAATGGACTAAATGAAAATTTTTGTAAACTCACTTCTTCAGTTTAACTAAAACAAACTACCACAAATGATATCCCAAATAGCATTGGTCTAATGGGACCCGGGTACGAATGGCGGCGCTGCGTGTCCGGGGCCCTTTTGACTAAATGCTATGTGGATGTCATTTGTGGTAGTTTATTTTAGTAAAACCGAAGAAGTATGTTTACAAACATATAGTCCATTCAATAATCTTTCAATTTAATACCTCATTTTGTCTTTCAATTTTTTGTTGTTGATATTTTTATATTTTAAATAGGTTTTTTTAATCCCAACCTCTCACTTCTGGTACCCGGGTGCGAATAGCCACTTCGAATAAAAAAGCAACAACATTATTTGAATTACAGTATGCTACATGTAGCTCATGTTTATTTAGTGTATCTTTTGACATAGGCTACCACCATGGACACGCCTACTAGCGGCTCGTCGACTTTGACACGCCTCCTAGTGGGAGTGGGGGTTGCAGTTGTCCTGGCTGCAGTCCTAATATTTCCAATGAGTTGCGTGAATACTTCTCGTCGTGCCGTTCAGCGTTCACACCCCGTCTGCCCAACTTCGGCGTATTCATCTTTCAGTCTTACTAGCGTCTGTGGTTCAGAAGTGAGTGTTTGGAGTCGTTTTCCTCAGTGATTGGATTTTGGTGGTGTTGAATATTATAACACGACCAAAACGAAACCCAACAGCTGTGTGTAGTGTTCAGTGATGTTCGGCGTAGAGAGCAAAGGTTTTCAGTTCAGTGGTCAGTGGTATGGTTCCAGTACAGTTTAATGAGGAAGATCTTCAAGATTACCGGATATATATTTTCATAATGTAACGCCACAGCGACCTATTAGTTAGGCTCATCCTAAGTAATTGACATTTCTATTGGGCCTAGGCTCAGAACGGTCGTGTGGGCCCTGCAGCCCCTACCCGTACAATGGCCCAAAGTTGTACCGTTGACGAAAAAACAATCAACAATCAACTTGAAAGCAAGGGGCATTAATACGATTTTAAAAAATAATCAAAATGGCAGGGGCTCTAAAAAAGTCACGCGAAGGCTCTGGGTATAGGTTGCATTTTTAAAAAAAAAATCCTGTGTCTGCTCCGTGAAACAAAATGGAGGCATGATTAGAATACATTCTATGACCTTTTCTAACACGAGGCCTGTAACGAGATGACAGCGGGGGTTTGCAATTGGAGTTCTTCCGTCTCTGATTTTAGCCACCATACGAGGTTGATTCGGTTTGGAGGGGGTGAGCGGGGTCTACCCTAGGTGGATGGCAGAGGCGTAGCGAGGCGGGGCAGGGGGGACAGATGTCCCCGGGCGCAAGCTAGTTAGGGGCGCTAAAATGTGCTTTGATATTATATTATTGGTAAAAATAATGGGTTTGAGAGTTGAAACAAAGAAAAGGGGGCGCTTTAAAATGGATCTTGTCCCCGAGCCCCAAAACCCTCGCTACGCCTCTGGTGGATGCTCCAGCCCATGAGCGTGCTGGTGTTGACACACGTGACCACACAGACAACTAAAACATCCAATACTAAGTCCACCCCTTACCCACGCCTTAGTGGCGTAGTCGTAGACCTAACATGCCACCACAGCCCTGCACCGTAGTTTCTAGCCTAGCGGTTCTCAACCTGTGGGTCGCGACCCCTTTGGGGGTCGAACGACCCTTTCTCAGGGGTCGCCTTAGACCATGGGAAAACACATATACTCTACATTTGTGAAGTAACAACGAAAATAATTTTGTGGTTGGGGGTCGCCACAACATGAGGAACTGTATTAAAGGGACGCGGCATTGGGAAGGTTGAGAACCACTGCTCTAGCCCCATGTGCGTCTTGGACCCGCGCTACTGCCCAATTAGTGACCTGTGGTCAGACATAGAAAGTTTTCCTCCATTGGAGGTGCTATCGCTGCTGTCATTCTACAACACCCCTTCACACATGTACACACACACAATTGATCCAAATCAACAAACATTCAATCGTTTGATGATGACCCTGCGATTACCGTATTCGAGCATGCACTTCCTCTCTGAGCTCACTATTCGATTACCCCTATTGCCAAGTAACCTGTGATTGTCTACAAATAAACAAGTGCTGACAGACAACATGGGAGACGATCGAGTCGGTAGTCGTTTGAATGGAATGGTATGTAAATAAGACCATAGAGTTCAACCTGACGACACGACTGTTTACTCTCTATCGAGCCTACCCTATACTGTCAGCTCTACACCGAGATGTCTGTGCTCATCTTAGTACTGGCTACATCTGAGCTGGTTTTGGAGGGGGACCTATACTGGCTACACCTGACCTGTTTGTGGTCAGTACTATTCTGGCTACACCTGACCTGTTTGCGGTCAGTACTATACTGGCTACACCTGAGCTGTTTGTGGTCAGTACCCTACTGGCTACACCTGAGCTGTTTGTGGTCAGTACTATACTGGCTACACCTGACCTGTTTGTGGTCAGTACTATACTGGCTACA